TCAGATTTGGGATCATGTGACCTGAGGCGTAAGAGTTGATCAGTCCTTGGATCTTTGGCAGCTTTAGTGTCATATATAAGCTTTAATATAGTTTAATGTAAAATCTTAGTTATAAACACATGTTTTCATAGCAGTGAAAGGGAGGACAGCTCTTGGGGGTTATGAATTTGGAAAGGGGCATAACCTTCTGTGTTCCTCTTACTGATGGATCCATCTCTCCCTAGACACAGAGGACTTCTCCTTTCTCTGTGCCAGCTGTTTCCGCACTAAAATCACTCTTAAAAAAATGATTTGTCCTCTCACCATCATATATTGCTATGCACATAAACACCGTGTTTATAATATAGTTACTGCAATCATGCAAGTGTCCATGTCAGCAGTGTATCATACTGTACTTAAAGGTACAATCCCTAAGTTTCCCTCCATCAAAACTCAAAGCACAACTTGCCTGCAAGATACCCCTGATGTAGTTCCCGAATGAGGATTCGATACTGGGTTCACGATATGATTTTCTTACGATTTCAGAAAGTCAGATTGAGAAATACAGGATTTTTTCTCAGTCATAATTTGTCTTTAAACAAAACAGGATAGTGCATCCTCAATTTCAAAGACTTCGCCGTGTCTTTGCGCCTTGATACAGCTACTGACCCAGGTGATGTAGGACGGCAAACAAAAAGAGTTTAAAAAGCTATTTAAAAAGAGTCTCACCAATTAGAATCTTGTATCGCATTATCAATATATCATTACATTTGAACTATGCTGTTTGTCGTAATGGCTGAACTAGGCGGGTACTTTCTGTGTATACTTTGGGTCGGACCTATAGACAACCGTTTGAAAGGATTTATGTAAACAATCATGTTTGTTTGGAAAGCCGTAGGAAGCTCGCACAGCTTATATGTTTTTTGTGTGAGTCCTTGCTTCCCTGAATCTCTATAATGGAGGTGGCAAGTACAAAATTGGGATGACCCATAGAGTCACAATGGCTGCATTTTTGGATGCACTGGAATTTTCCTTTATCCACAACTTTTTCCTAACCTTAACCAAGTAGTAGTTTTGACCCAACCCAATCCTTAACCCTAACTGGGTCATTTTGTTCCCAAACCTAAAACGTTTACTGTCGGTATAGGTAACAGGAAGCAAACTCTGAAGCACTTCCAAACTGCTTTTCTGTTGGTTGATTTTGGGCGCCGCAGTTGGCCCACTAATAGGGAAACAAGCAAGTTCATTGCCCAGACCAGTGGATAGAGGGATGTTAGTTCTTGAGTGTCTGACTTTGCAAATAAAGGAAGCTGATAGCCTGAGACCCACTAAATCTCAACATTGGGGTGAAAGATTATCAAGAAACATCTGAGTAGAAATTACACACTGTGGGTGCAAAAAAATATTATTTTATATTGATTATTAGTTATTAATGAATTGTTTGGAAACTCCTATCTTTGATTATGTTATACCTTCTTTCTCACAAGCCATTATGAGGGGGTCGTAACACTGCTAAGTCACATTTGTGCCACAGCAGTGAAGTGGCAAGGTTATAAAACCGCCAGGTCCAAATCTCAGTAATGTTCATTCGTTATGTGCCATCATACAACTGAGGGTTAAAAGCCCAATTTTAGGGGCAAATTGCTCCTCAGGTCCCCACCAACCAAATGACAGAAAGATGGGAGAAGCCATAGTCACATCTTCTGGCACAATTTGCACCTTGCAACCTGTGGTGCACTCATGCAGGTTTGGTTAGAATGTAAAGGCTGTAGTCCATTACCTGGTAATGTCAAATGAGCTTCTGAAGGCTGCGAAGCGACAAAATGTAATCACCAAAATTGGATTTTAAGAGTTGAGAGTAATTCTGAATGATTATCTCTCCAGGTGTGGCAGTGGTTCATGACTGGGAAAATTACAAGGGGTAAAATGTTCTTTCAGACACACATACTCTGTCCTTCTGCCCTCTGGGAGAGCAGGTGTTTGGTGGGGAATTGAATCTGAAGAAAGTATTCCAGGTCCTAGAGCTAATAAAGGGTGAATTATGTTCTATTACTTCTCTAATTGCAACAGAGAGCATTCTTACTTTTCTTGCCTCTGATCTGCAGCACTGATAAACCTGCTGATGTACGTCAATGTGCTGTCATTGTTTGCATGGAACCGGTACATAAACTGTAGAAGCTCCACCGTTAGCACAGTGGCTAACTAGCATGCCTATGATGATCTGAGTCTGTGGAACAACTTATTTGGTATGTCTGAAAACCCAGTAGTCATTCATTCAAATTTATTAACAACAACGAACACACCCTTTAACAACTCTAAAAACAAAAGAAAGCTAAAAAAGTTGTGAAGGGTGGACACTTAAGTTCTTGTATTGCTTGATATTACTTACAATATTGCAGGCAATGGAGAACCTGAGTTTATCCTTCAGTAGAGCCCTGATTATGCAACAATGTTTATTGAATAATTTGCCTTTGCATCATCCCTCTTGAAATAATAAGCTCAAGTATGTGCAGCATTGTTTGTTTTCCGCACCTCTTCGCTGCCTGTTTGCTGCCTTGGCTGCAGAAGCGATTTCCTCTCTGGACTCTTCGCTAATGAGCTCAGAGGAAAGCAGAGGTCAGACTTTGGCTGTGCTGGTCCAGAGTGACCTCTGTAATGCCAAGCATGCACATGATTTAGATTTTATTAAATTATAACTCAACAACAACAATTACATGTTTAATATGTTTGCCTAATTTTGTTCTGCACAACAAGTAGACATCAGCCTCTCAGAATCAGAGATTAAGAACTCATTTCTACATTTAGAAGAGGTTTGACTGTCTCCCAACAACAGAGACTTAGACTCAGAAGATCAGAATGCAACGCAGCTTCAGGACTTTCTGAAATGAAATTGAAATGAAATGGGCTTCAAGAATTATCTCACCTAGGTGTAATTGAAAGGAAGTGATGTGCCTTTTTATTTTCCAGCTGTTAGAGGTAAGGAGGTTATAGATGGTGGATGGAAGATTAAAAGCATGTATTTAAGTTAAAATGTGTCACACCAATCTTCACACCTGATATTTGTCAGTTACTGCCAGGAATGCTGCTAATGCAAAGGAAAAGTACTCAATGAACTGAGTACCTCTTAGAGGCAAACTTCTGTAGGGAAACAAAAACCATAATTACAGATTTTTGTCTTAATATTAAATCATCATATACAGTAAGATTTTACTTTCACTGCTGTAACCTTTAAGCTAGATGGAAAGAAAATATTTCTAGTGCTGTTTTTTTAATGACCCATATCCAGTTATAAAAACCAAAACATTTACTCGGCAAGACTGTGATTTGAGGAAGGGACGGGCCTTCTTATTTCTTAGCTGCATTACATTCTATCTCCAGGAAACTGAATACAATAAAAGAGTAAAAGGCAGGACTCCATCTTTAACTTGTGCTCAATATCTAATGCTTTGTTTCCCCCCTGTGTTATATTTCATAATTTCATGATTGTGTTGCTAGTCTTGATGTTTTTAATGTTGAATATCAGTTAAGTAAATAAGAACAAATGTATAAAATAATAATTTAACAAATGTTGGTGTGTGTGGTCTGAGGGTAAGCAAAATCTAAAGAGCTGTGCTGATGCTTTGCTTAATACTCAAGATGCCTTTAAGCAATCCTTATTAAACTCTCTGGAGACATCTGAAGTGATGTCCTGGACAAAAACACTGACTTTTGTTCAAATCAGATAAAGGGGAGGGGGGGCAAATGGGGTAACTTTGAGTGCACAATTATTGAACCGTTGCAGCCTTTATGACAATAACACAAGAGTGTGATTGGTCTCACTCCTTATTTCATCAGAATTAAACTGTATGAGGCAACTTTGCTCAGCTTTGTGATGCCTTGTTTTCATAGTTTACACAGAGAGAAGAAACATAGGGAAATATGAATGGTTCGACTGGACGTCCTGTTGTTTGTCTTACATTTTACATGATTTGCGGAGCTATATATGTGTCTGTAGCCTACAAAATGTGAACTGTGGATGTCAAAAGGTGAAATGTTATAGTTTTTTTTTTTTTTAACAAACACAACATTTATATGAACGTTGTGGTTTGTCCAGAATTAGCTGAGCAGTGGGCTTGTGTCTGACTTTAATTGAGACACTTAAATTGACTAAATGGCGCCAATAAGGATTTGATTGACTTGTGCTGGGGGTGATAACACACCAACCAGGGAGGTGTGCTTTTCTTTTGTTTCTGACATAGGTGAGTTTCCATAAGCAGAGTCAAGTTCACATAAAAAAATTAAAGACCTAACTAGGCCTTTAAAATAAAAGCACACAGTTATACTGAGGGTCAGGACTGCTTTTGACCTTCTGACTGAGGCCGTCACTGAAGTTTTGTTTGGGGACCAGCTATTTCTACAGAATATATTATTGATCCTGATTTTGCTGCTTTATGGACGTCACAGTCAAATCATGCAGGGTGGTTTGGCAGCATTGACTGACATACTTTGGCTATTTATCACACTAGAACAGGAACTTTTAATAGGCAAAGAAATATTTATATAGTTATTTATATAGTTATAGGACTTTTCAAAAATAAGTTACAATGTGCTGGAAAAGGCAGCCGTCATTGCTGTTTTTAAGTGGAACAGGCACTTCTCATTAGCATTAAACCATCCAGGTAGCTAGAAGACAACATGTAAAACAAGCACTGTAAAAAAAAAAAGTAAAATCAAGTAAAAAAACAAAAAAAACAAAAACAAGCCCTCCAAATATTTTACACATATTTTGTCTTATTGAATTATTCAAAGTCTAGCATCTATTGATAGAATATTGAAAAAAAAGAAGTAAGTTTAATTGCTGCATTGTTTAGTTTTTCCACATTTCATTAGTTGATGCCACAGAATGATTTCAATAAAGAGATTAAAAAAAACACAATCAGCACCCAAGAGCTGTTCGCCAGGGCTGATTTTATTTTGAAGGTACTGACCGGATCTAGTGCGCCCTTTACTTTGTCTAACTTAACACCAGTTCCCTAAACGCAGCTGGTCTTTTGCCTCTGGGGCTCACAGCGACGGACGACTCTTATATGAGACTGTCGGTGAACTTACTCGGTGCTCGGCTTTTCTGCAGCTCATAACGGCTCCAAAAACAAACATTTGATTTCACACTTTACCAACACATGACACCAACAGCGGGACTTCATATTGTCACACCGACAACTTGTGTCTGCAACTCGTGTTTCTGAAAGACAGGAGGTAAGAATATTGTCATGTTTATAAATACAACTTACTCATGTATGTAATAAAGCAGACATTAAGCTGACGGTCCCACCGGTTTATTGTCACATGGGTAAAAGGCCTGTGACCGCATCAAACATCAGATCACACTTTAAACTGCGTATTTCTTTAAAACTTGGACTGGCTAACAGGTGACAGTTTAAACTCCTGCAAGAAATCATTACCGTGGTGGTGAGATATTTTTAATCGAGAGTTTATCGCAGGGCGCTTTGGGTCGTTTAATCATTTATACATCAGATGAACAGCCTCTTGAAGAAAAACGTCCATGAATATGACTGAACTGTGCAGATAATCATTAATTATCTCCTTAAACATCTCTCTCCTAATCTTTAGATATCTCCACCCCCCATATTCAGATATCCATATGCAGTACTGGGTCTGTAGGCTTTGATTTGAGTCTGTTTGTGGGGCTATTGTGTTTAACCACTATGCACTTGAATACCAACATACTTCAAAAAGTACTTACTGTACTAACTCTGTACACAAGCGACTGCTATCAGCCAGCTGCTGTAATACAGACAAGCTCACAGGAAGAATTCCCCCTTTCCCTTGTTTGAGCTGTGGATGGTTGATCACTGCAGCAGTTTACTCAAGTTTCAGACGTTTGATATAATACATATTATTGCATTTATTAAACTTATTTTGTTATGTGGTTTTGTTATTATGTTTTTTTAAATAATGCTTTCAGCAGCTTTATTTAAATGCTGAATATTGTCATTTGATCAAACACTGAAATACACTTTGCTATAACTTAAAGTCTCATTTTAAAGCAGAGTTTCTATTGTCCTAAAGATTAATGGGATAGTGCTATAAATTGTTTTAGGAGGTTGTTTTTTTGAGTTGCAACAGTTGTACTAGATCAAGTAATATATTTCTGGAATGTATTTATTCATGTAATTACGTGCAAAATGAAAGAATTCAGGATTAAAAGTGGGCGGCACAGCAGTGGTTAGACAGGTTTGAACCTTTCTGCTACCGTTTGTCCTTTCTGTGTGGGTTATAGGAAGGTTCTAGATAGTGGGTGGATGATTAAAATGCATCCCACCTGCTTTCACACCTGAAATTACCACATTTCCTGTCAGTTACTGCCAGAAAAAGGCCACTGTGAAGGAAACATCCAAGAAGGGAGTTTTTGTTTTTTTAAGAGGCAAAATTTAACTAGAACCTTTTATCAAACGGGCATTCAGACGTTTTATTTTTTAGATGGAAAAAAAAAATCTCTTGTCTCTCCAGCTTTATTCCAGACCAAAACCCTTCCTCAGAAAGACGTCATAATAGCTTTAATAACAGGAATTATAGGTCTCAGATACCACTGAGCTGTACTTTAGCTGATTTTATTATAAAGGCTTTTTGTGACATTGTGTCAGAGAGATGTTAGATTTAACTTTATTTTAGACCAGAATTAGTCACTGTGATGCAGGCGTGTTGTATTAGATTGCTGTGTGGCATACCTAATGAACAGATAAATGTATGTATTGTTGAGGGCAGCTCCCTCTGATGTGTGTCAGTGCAGAGTAGTAAATGACATTTAATGTTTATATTTAACGTCAAACTTTAATTAGTCTTTTAAAAGCAGTTGCAGTTACGTTAAAGCACAAATAGAGCACATAAATCTCTCCGTGTCAGCTTGAGGTTTTTCTGCAGCACAATGAGATTTTTCTCATTCTCTGGCACCGACCACCACTCACATCCCCACTTATACTCCCTTACTGTATATAGTAAGGTACGACTTCTTTCTGCAGAGCCGGTTCACATCTGTTTCCGCCTGATTTTAGGGAGGCGGTCAGAATTTAGGGATGGGAAAACAGCACGGCCTTGAACTTTTGTATAAAAGGCATGCACTTCTGGATTATGACCAGGAACAGTTCTGTCACTTCAGATTTTGCTTTATTTGGCTTTGACCTGAATTTTTTGGGGGCAATACATGCATAAGTGTGTGTGTGTTGTTGTTGTTTTTTTTGTTTAGTGTGTGTAAGCTACATGAAACTTTGCCAACTGTCTGCTGTTTCGTTTCTGGTGTGAAAGCAAACCAACCGACTACAGGATTTTATGAAGCTAAATTACTAATAAATACAGCTGCTGATGGTGAAATCCGTTCAGAAAGCAGTCTTATAATTGATCTGTGTTAGCGATACAATCATTTGGTAACTATGGTAAAGTGTATGTGCGTCAGCAAGTGACAGGGAGGCTTTTACCTGATAAAAAAAAGCAGCTAAAACTGTGGTCTGTTGTGCTTGTATCCTACTCCTGCTGGGATATTGCTCTACAAGGCGCTTCTTCTTCATCTGTCATACCTGTTTGTCATTATTCATAACGTGGCTGATTTGCAGACTCTTCCTGACATCCGAGAACATAAATACAAATATTAGAAGCATTAAGTGCTGCATGACCTGCTGTCAGTCACTGAAAATGTGAGGAGATGTTCTCCTGTAGGACCTGATGATACATAACTTTGCAAGGCAGCTGGATCATAAAATCACAAGATCACACAAGAATCCATCTTACCAGGCCTCAAGCTCTATGCGCTTGTGTCCAAACCACAGAGGTTCAGCCCAGTCGGTGTCCTATTAGAAACTACTGGCAACTACTGCATGAGCTACTGGGTTGGTTTAATGCTACGTATGTGTGTGTGTGTGTGTGTGTGTGTGTGTGTGTGTTAGAAGTGACTGTTCCACTTAAAAACAAGGTCAGATTAATTGAAAGAAGAGCGGAGAACAGCACTGAAGGCTTTTCTTATTGAAAAGATGTCTCCTGATTGACTTTTCTAAGGTTCGCTGATGTAATTTCTGCCTCACATCAGTGCCTGAATCCTGAGTGTTGTGGAGTATTTGGAGTCAAAGTTAACTGAACTTTTGCTGCACAACCTGCTGGAAAATCAACACAATGCTCATCGCTGTAGCTTGTGCAGCTGCTGAAGAGAGTACAGCCACTTTTTCCATTGGAAATAATGCAATGTAGAACCTGTGCACTTGATCGCCCTGTAAGGCAGTGACGGTTGTCTGAAGGCAAGGTCAAAGCTTCAAAGGAAACAAAAAACTCTTCCACATCTGTTTTTACCCCCAAATGGTAATTGATGGTAAAATCTTGCCACAATCTTCTTTTCTCTTAAAGTAACTGATTTGTTGTGGGAGTCAGTTTATTGGCTTATGGACACAAGGTCATTGGAAACTTTGTGAAACTAAACGGCGCTCTTCGCTGCAACACTTTTTCATGCTTTTCAGCCACATATAGCCTGTAGATTATATACAATATCTTCACATTGAGTGTAATTAAATTCTCACGTCTGTTGGCACATTATTGCGCATGTTATAATTGAGGTTTATGTGATGCAGTGTACTTTAAGTCATCAGTCATTCCCTGTGATTCGAGCAGAAACCCATGAGCTGGCAAGCAGTGTAATTAAACTTCAAACAGAGATCGCTCAAATGCTTTCATTTCCTGGCATTTTATCAGTGTGTACGTCAGGTAAGATTTCATAAACACATAAAAGACGGAGATAAAGCCATCCTCCCACTGCCAAGACACACTCAGTATTATCAGCCAGAAATAGATCGTTCGTCAAACCAAATGCCATCCAATAGCACAAATATTCTGATCCTTAAAGCTTAAGAGCTGAGAGAAATGTTCTTCCACACTGTTCAATGTCTGAAACTTCACTGAGTCAATAATAATCACTAAAAACTAGGCTAAATCACAGTAGTTGCGGCTGTATAGTGAATACCTAGCCTTGTTATTACACCTTCAAACTGTATTAACTGATGTTTTGGGCCATTTTGGGGCAGTGTAAACACAACACTGACACATGATCACCTTTTATACAGTTGATATGGAAGACTCAAGCAGATATGGAGCCACATTAGCTTTCATTTGGAGTTGTGTTTGTATCCATCTGATGAATGTGAATCCAGTCTTTACTCTCTCTCTTTTTGACGCTGACTGCTCCACCAGCTTGTTTAATGTGCCAGGTTCACTGTGTGTCAAGATGCTCAGAGGCACTGTGCCTATATACACATTGGTGTGTTTTTAAAAAAAAGCTTTTAACCACTAATTGCCCCCTCTTTGTAATTCATTTCTCCCTCACTATAAAAACGTGTGTGTCTGTAGGGACCGCAGTATTCTTTTTCCTTCAGCCTCAAACTTCTAAAGGTCTATCTCTGTAGGGATCCTTTCCACATGTATTTATACCTCTACCTCTGTGAATTAAGGGTTTATTTTGACCAAACCAGTGTTGGTGACCATTGAAAAGAGTAAAGAGAGTCATTATGTTGAGTTTTATTTTGTTTCTGTCCAGTTTGAAATGTGTTTTGTTTTACGATTATCTGTGGGGTAAAATGTTTGGTTTTGTCTGTGGAGTCTGGTGGGCCATAGCACCGTTTGTTTCGGTCTGAGATGCTGTGCTGTAGTGCGACATATAGTGGAAAGTGAATTCAGTTATATATAACCTTTAAACTAAAATGTAACTGTTTGTAATAAAGCAGACATTAAGCTGACGGTCCCACCGGTTTATTGCCACATGGGTAAAAGGCCTGTGACCGCATCAAACATCAGATCACACTTTAAACTGTAACTTTAACTGTTTCCAGTTTTTATTTCATACATAGATTATTTAATCTTTCACGTAAATTAACTCTTGCAAGAAGTTGCAGTTGTCGAAAATAAAATTATTCAACACGCTTAAATAACTCTGCTTGTGTTTTTCGCTGCTGTAAGAGTGATTTAGATATAGCTATAATTTCTTAGTGTGTGGTTTTTATTAGCTTTTTTCTTTTCCCTTTTAACTTATGTGAAGTGTCTTTGAGTTTCTGGAAAAGCGCTCTATAAATGAAATGTATTACTATTATTATTATTATTATTATTTCTCCTGTCACATCTTAATTCCATATAAAAACAAAAATATCACTTTGCTGCTTTCCACAGTATCCAAAGTCAGTTTTGTCAGTTTTCAGCGCTGTTAGAGCCGACTCCAACTATACGGATTATCAAGTTTTGTTGTCGAGTCAAACCGCAGCTTCTCTTGGCCATTTGGCAAGATTACTGGACCCTTATCTATCAGGAGAAATAATGACTTCCAGCTTAATGCTAGAAAGGTGGAGAGAATGTGTACCAACTTGGACTGAAGGCAGAGTGCTGCCACACAGGAATGATGAAGAGTAAACTATCATGTCCTTAGACTGTGTAGATGTATACGTGTGTGTGTGTGTTGTATGTATTGATCCACCAGCTGTCTCTGTCTACATTATAAATCCTGATTTCCTATTTCAATGCACTCCTCTAAAAGAAGTTAAATTCCCTCTAAATTAATATTTTAGTATTTATAATAATATAATATTTTTAAGTGGAAGCCTGTATATTCACCTTTAGCAGCTTTAGTTCTCGTCAGTCCCTCCAGGAAGTTGTGATTGCAACAATTAACACAAATTCAATCGATCCTTGTGAATTCTGCGCGACTTTGCAATTTGTTGTGTTGCGTGTCTGAATTTTGAACGTAATCGATTTTAATCCATATCATGAATGTTGCATGAAAAATATATTCTGCCAAAGATTAGATTGAAAACCACGCTGTGTTCTTAAAACAAGTGAAATGTAGTTTAATTTTTGATTTATTCACTCTCCTTTACGAACTGATTACGAGCGAGTTTCTGATCACTGCACCTGCTTTTGAATTTACCTCTTTATTGTGTATACCATATATATTGTAATGTTTTAACTCTTATATTGTTTTCTTGCATTAGCTGTTTCTATGTTTTAATTGTTGGTGTCGGTTTGCGTCCTGTTGTTGCCTCTTGGCCAGGTCATCATTCTAAATGTGAATTGGTTCTCAGTTGATTTATCTGGTAAAATAAAATAAATAATTTTCTGTGGTCAATGTGAATGTGCTGGAAGGACTTGAGTAACAAAATTGTATTTTGATAAAGTGGGAAAAATTGCGTAAGATAAAGTAAAAACAACAAAAAACATCACTTTATTTTGATTGTGAAAAAGGTGAAATTTTAAATTATAGAAAAACTCTGGTTTAAATGTTATTGGAATACAATTTGATCTATAAACCATTATATATATTAAATTATATACTCAAATTTTGGGACTAAATCTGCCGTTCTGTATTTTATGATGTTTACAGTCATAATTCTGACATTCACCTATAGCGCCCTCACCATGAATAATACTATAAATATTACCTGAGATCTGCGATTAAACCCGCTCCCCAAAACCACAGGGTACTAACTTTTTCCAGAGCTTTTGTATCTCAGCTTATCTTCAGCAAATGGAGCTTACATTACCAGATAACTGGCTAATGCAGTTTGAGAGTAAACTCAATGAAATGTCATTAGAAAAATTTGAGTCCTCGACCAGTATTTCAGTCCTTTAACGTGTGCTTTTCTCTTTGTCCTCCAGGTGGAAAGGTTTGCCACACATCTGACTCCACGTGCTGGAGTAATAATGTGAGACTCATGGCTGGACTGAGACTGAGCACTGAACATGTGTGTTCGCTGCCCTCTGGATCATTTCACAGCACTGACCCTCTCTTCTTGACAGGTTGATCTCAGTGAGCAGAGTTAAATCAAAGTAAGCCGCAGGATTGATTGGAGTTATCCATCATTCTGGGAATGTACAATGTGAGCTCACGGGTAACATTAAACCACCCTGGCCTGTAGGTAGATGTGAAATTCTTTGTTTTTATTCTATTACACTGCCAGTACTCGTAGATAATGACATTACCACTGTGAACTTGACACCAAAGGGAAACAATTACTCCATCCTAGGCCCATATTTGTTGATGATGTGGTAAATCTAGTGATACTGAGAGCGTCTGTATTTGCAATGGCCGTTGCCTCCTCTCCAGAGAAGGATCAGCCCCTCCTCCAGCTCCAGAAAGTAGACTCCAGTCGAGTTGGCGGTCGCGTCCTCTCCCCGATTCTCAGCTCCTCCATGGAATCAAGCCAACCCATCTGCATCCCCTCCCCGTACACCGACCTCAGCCACGACTTCACCACCATACCTTTCTACAGTCCAACTATCTTCAGTTATGCGGGTCAGGCTATTTCAGACTGCCCTTCCGCCCATCAGTCGCTAAGCCCCTCCTTGTTCTGGCCCAGCCATGGCCACGTGGGGCCCCCTATACCCCTGCACCACTCCCAGGCTCGGCCTCAGCACGGACAGCCAATCCAGAGTCCATGGGTGGAACTGTCACCACTGGAAAATGTAACAACCAGGTAGGATTATACGTCACTCCCTCACTGTTGTCCCCCAAGGTAGTAGTAAGGCTGCAACTAATGATCAGTTTAATTATTGCTTAATCTGTTGATTATTTGTATGATTCATTGATGATTCACAATAATTACCTGTAGTCAGCACCAATAATCTGTAATCATATTACTAATGCGGTAATGATTTATTAAAATGGAAGATGCAATACACTTCATTAAAGGGATTTCCATACTGAGGCCAGATTGCTTATTCCACATGTTTTTGTCTTGGCAAGAAATGCTGACTCAAACTTATCTGTCAGTAAGAGTGTGATGAGGCGTTCTCAGGAGAGCGAGGAGGGCGTGGTGTCATCTGGCGGGAAGGCGGACCTCCACTACTGTGCTGTGTGTCACGACTATGCCTCGGGTTACCACTATGGCGTCTGGTCATGTGAGGGGTGTAAGGCCTTCTTCAAGAGGAGCATCCAAAGTGAGGCACAAAAACATTCAGTGTTCAGAGTTTGCTGACGCTGTTCATTTGTTGAGACTGTTAGTGGGGTTTATTCAGCTCTGTGCTCATTTTTAGACCATAGTGGGTATTGTTTCTCTGCAAAGTCATTTAGTGTCTTTCAAACACATTTTTGGTCCATTGAGGGTAAATCCTACCAGCTTTGGTGGTTCTGTGACATTTCCTGTAGCGCCACCATGAGGTTGGTGTTTGTGGTTTTGAACTATTGGATGGATTGCCATGACATTTAGTATAGACATTCATGTCCCTCTCAAGATAATTTGAAAAACTTTGTAGATCCCTTAACATTTCCATTAGCATCCATCACGAGGTCAACATTTAAATTCTCTGAACAAACACCTGCAAAACTAATGAACATCCCATCACCTTTAGCTGTACTTTATGTTTAGTGCTAGTTAGCAAATGGTAGATGCTAACACGCTAAGCTAAGATGGTGAACACAATGGACATTATACCTGCTCAATTAAACTGAATTCAATTTTATTTACATTATACACTTTTCATATTAGAGCAGGTGTAGATTCCATGCATGTGACTACTTCTCACTGAACTCTGTCACACCTGATCACAGTAACTTGTAATCAACATTTACAAGCTCCTACGAGACTGAATTACATCTCATTCAAAAATCTCATTCTGAAAAACTTAAATTCAAGTCCATTCAGTTTTGGTTGCCTGACATTTACTGAATCCCACTTATCATAATTGTAGTTTCTCCCCATGCTGACTAAGCCAGTTTTACTGAAAAGCTGGAAATGATCCCAAAAGAAACAAACACACAAGCTTGTCATCAGCATCCTTTGGCGGGTGATCTTTTTGCAGCGAGATCCAGCCTTTCTTTATTTATATTTTGCTAATTTTGTCTAATTTTTTCTTCTATCCTTGCCTTTTTTGTCTTCATCTTCTCCCTTTCTTCTTACCTTTTTGTTTTTCTGTTTCAGGACACAATGACTACATCTGTCCAGCAACCAATGAATGCACTATAGACAAGAACCGCCGCAAGAGCTGCCAGGCGTGTCGCCTTCGCAAATGTTATGAAGTTGGCATGACCAAATGTGGTTAGTGTGTTTGTGTTCCCAATTTGTGTTTGTATTTTCCCATCAGAAGCTGTTTGGCTTTTGTATTTTTTCCACCCACAATAAAAAAGGAACTCTAACCAGACAATATATCTTAACCAACATGCTGTTATGATGATGTTACATGTCATATAAAAAATTTTGTTCAGGTTCCCTGTGGCTTTTTTTTGTTCAAGAATGTGTTTCTCCCTTTTAATGTGCAGTGATCCCACTCAGGGAAACCAGCCTGGAAAGGTTGTTAATCTGTTACACAGCTGCCTAAAATGGAGAAGAAATCAAGAAAACCTTTAAAACCTTGGACTACTTGTCCAGCCCCAAATGGCAGATCAGGGGAACTTAGTGGAGCATTTAACGGCTAAAGACCCAGATATTTCCCTCAGGAGTTGGTGGAGACCAAAAGGATTAGACCTACCAGAAACACGACTCCAAATAAATTCTAAAGTTGCTCAGTATGTCAGTGTTTTGCTTACAGTTATTGTAAGTTTAATTAGAATTTAAAACCTGTAAATCAACAAAACGATAACCATGTTTCACAAATATGGATAGTGAAATATGCCCTGGACAAACTGTAAAAGGTTGTGTTTTATGTCGTGTTTTCTTGGCCTCAGGTATGCGAAAGGAACGTGGAAACTACAAGAACCCCCAGGCGAGGCGAGTGACCCGCCTGTCCTCACAGAGCAGAACACACGGACCAGACGTGTTAACTGGATCATCAGCGATGGGTTTGTTAAACGCGCCCCGTCCTCCTCCACTGACTTCAGAGCAGCTGATTGAGCGAATAATGGAGGCAGAGCCGCCAGAGATCTACCTCATGAAGGATATGAGGAGGCCACTGACTGAAGCGAACGTCATGATGTCGCTCACCAACCTGGCAGATAAGGAGCTGGTTCACATGATCAGCTGGGCCAAGAAGATTCCAGGTGTGTGTCGGGGTAATTCGGGCAGAAGACTTTGTCCAAAGCAATTTAGGATGAGTGTGTTCAAACCACGTACTGTGCAAGAGGTAGTTCTCGTCCAAAATTAGTAGTGTATCTCTTTATGCTGCATTCACATGGAATCAGGCAAACTGGATGTGATGTTAGTGGATGATTGCAGGATGGTAAACTTAGGAGAGGACGACAGAGAATACATATACACACAGGAAATGATTCAGCAGAAACAACACATTATGACAATCTTGGCTTAGTCCTTTAAAATCAAATCAAATCAGGCATCATTTAATGATGTTTTCAATAGTAAAACCAAAGGAAAAAACACATTAAAACAAAAATGTAAGTGTGAAGAAACTACCAACCGTTTAATATACGAGTGCAGCCGTTGCCATGGCAATCCATCAAAGTATATATTAGTTTAACCCATCCTGCAGTCCTATCCAGTTATTGCTACACTGACAACTCATAGAGAAGCTAATATGCTTAATTGGTTTAGTATAAAGACTGGAAGCAGGTGGAAGTAGCTTGCCTGGTAACACCTCTAAAGCGTGCTGATTAGCATGTTGGATCTCGTTAGCTTAATCCATACGTGCTCGTTACTCATAAAACCACAACTTGATGATGATATTGACAGTGACACAGACAAGGTTAGCCGTTTCCACATAATTCCACTTACTATGCAAAGGTAAGCTAATCTAAACTAGGATTTTTGTAGTCGAATAACACACAATTTGGACATTTCACAAGCTAACTTCTCTAATTTTTGAGTCCAGAATTAATATAAATAACTTTGTATTTTAAGCTTTCATCAACACCTAATCTCATAAAGCATTGAAGCTATAGAGCAAAACACATTTTGTCCACAATTTTTTTACACAAAACCTCTTCAACATCAAAATAAAATTGCTTTAATGGAACCCAGAATGACATATCTAGATCTTTTTATTGCTTCTCTTCTTTCTGAACGTCCCTGCAGAGCCACTCAGTTGGTGAGAAAGCAAGTTAATGACCAGCCAGACACAGTAATTGTCTCTGCTTTATTTAGCATGTGAGTCGAGTCCCGCAACACAGTAAGAGTTTTTCTGGAATTGGAGGTGGACAATGAGCTGTGACATTACAATTATTAGAGTATGTCTCTGCTGCTTGATTCAGATAGCTTCTCTGCACAATATGAAAGTTTTGAACAAGTTGCATGCTTGTGCTTCAGGCAGATATTATGACATAGAAACCTTTTACCTTACCCTAAAGTGACATGTTTGAGCGTCCTTGGCAGGCACAGTCACTCATTGCCTGGCTGAAATCAGATAACAGCACAGGCTGTACTTGACAGTGTGTACATGAACAAAAAATTAAACCGGTTGTAACCTGATTTGGGGCTGATACATGACAGTGTGAGTAAATGTTTGAATTAGGGCCACAATTAATGTTTATTTTTGTAATATTATTATTGTTATTTATTTGTTTTATTTATAATTTAATCTACAGAATGTCTGGAAATAGAGTAAAATACCCATCAGAATTTCACAGAACCCAAAGTGATGACTTCACATGGCTTGTTTTGTTGTACAGTCCACACCCAAAGATTTAAATTACAGTGACTCCTCACATTTAAGATGATGGAACCAGCAAAATGTTTGCATATGTGATTTAAATGATTCATCAGTTGTCAAATTCACCAGAGAATAATCAGTCAACTAGCCCTGGTTTGAATAATTACACAGCTAATACAGTAGACAGGTTAAGGTACATGGATAACTACTGATAACAAACTTAATTCAGGATTTTGTCTGTGTGTGTGTGTGTGCAGAGCAGTAATGGCAGCACACAGTTACAAACTGTTTGTCTTTTCCTTAGGGTTCATTGAGCTTGGTCTCTTGGACCAGGTGCACCTGTTGGAGTGCTGCTGGCTGGAGGTGCTGATGGTCGGACTGATTTGGAGGTCAGTGGACCATCCAGGGAAACTTATCTTCTCCCCTGACCTCAGCCTGAGCAGGTACCACCGACCAAAAACTCACATCTCTACTTCACAAACCTGATTAAAGTGCCAATTTGCCATCGTTACTGTGGTTAGGTTGAATGCCACCTGCATTTAGAGAAGTAATACATTTTGTAATGTATGTGTGCCACAGTTGCTGTTGTATTTCTGACAAAGTGGCTGTTCAAGGAGTGTTTGCTGTTGTATTAAACTAACCCTAACCCATTACGGTAACCATGGATGTCATCAAATCAACCAGCTTTAAGTTACAACTACAACTTTAAGTGATCCTTGTCAAAATGCTTGTCTATGTTAGGTTTAAGGAAAACTGGCCGATAAATGAATTTTTAAATATCAGTCTTGGCCTTAAAAATCCAGTATCTGTCCCAGACCCCATCTGTGTCCTGTATGAAAAACTAAAATCAGGCCCGCCACCATCTGACTCATACTAGTTTCTGATCTGATTTGTGTGAGAGGAAATCTTCAGCTCTGACTGCATCTGTGCTCACATGTGGTTTACAACAATATATCTGCTGGTGCTCATCTTCTTTTAAAATCTGGTACAAAGTGTCCTAACCTCTCTCACTGAGGGCTCATTGTATACATTGTGGTGGCTTTTATCATCATATCAGATCTTGGAAATAGTGTAGTGCATGGTGCAGTGCATGAGTCATAGAAAGATGAATCTTCCTGTCGTGGAAGAAGTTTTTTAGATCATTTACTTTTGTTATAATAAAAGTAGCACACTGTACACATACTCCCCGTACAAGTAAGAGTACATAAATGTTATAAATTGTACTTAAAGTATCAAAAGTAAAATGATGCGTTAAGCAGAATGGCCCCTGTCTGAGATATATTATTTGATCATTATTATTGATTCAACAGCATCTAATTGGTACTTAAATGTTGTAATTAGTCAAGGTTTTATATACAGTTGGGTTGTTTAATTTTTAAGTTCATCATAAGTTTTAATCTGAAAAGTAACTGGTAATTAAATCTTTCAAATAGTGGAGAAAAGGGACAGTATTTCCCACTGAAATGTACTAAAGTATAAACTAGATAATAACAGTAAAGTTGATAGTAAAGGAGGAACAAGAAGCTCAATATCGTACTTAAGTATAATACCTGAGTAAATATACTTTCCACCATTGGAATCTTCTGCTCTATGTGGAGCTTTACAGCCAAACCTGAAGTACTAAAAATAACTCCCAATATGATGGTTTTCATTTCCTCTCCTCTATGATAATGCTAACTGCTAAACACGTACTGCTTTATTACCATCTTTTGGATCTTGGTGAGCATTAAATCAATGCAGCATTTTGTCAAATTGTCACATGGTTTCTGCCTAAGTTGTTATAAAAATGATTTCTGGTAAAATAACTGGTTGTGTTTGTGTCTTTGTGTGGCAGAGAAGAGGGGAGCTGTGTCCAGGGCTTTGTGGAGATCTTTGATATGCTGATAGCTGCCACGTCCAGGGTGAGAGAGCTCAAGCTCCAGAGAGAGGAGTACGTCTGCCTCAAGGCCATGATCCTCCTTAACTCCAGTGAGTGTGTGTGTGTGTGAGAGAGAGAGTGTGTGTGTCTACGCCCACACAGGTCTCTCTATGTGTGATGTATGTGTGTGTGTAGGTGAGACAAAGCGATGCTCCAGTGTTTGATTGGTGTCTCAGCATGTAATCCTGTCTGTGTGTGTGTGTGAGAGTCTGCACAGGGTTGGCAAGGGGACCAGCTATATAACTTACTAATAAAAATCCCTAATGGTAACACCGTGTATAGTTTGAGTCTCTGCTCTCATTGGTTCCGCCGGTTGCAGTAGCAGATGGAGCCGCAATACCGGAGAGTAATTAATGTCTGAGTAATACGTCTGTTTCCCTCCACTAACACAGTCAAACAGGGGTCATGGTTTTTCTCCATCTCTCCCATGCCTGTTTTTGTCTGTTTTGAACATTTGTGAATGAGTAATAGCGAATATATATTTATATATTTGATATAGAACGCAGAACAAAACAGCTCAGACATAATCACCCCCTACACCAAAGCAAAGAAAACAAAACATTAGGGACGTCCCGATCCGATCTCAATAAATCTGTTTCAGGGCCGATCCAGGCTTGTATTGACGAGATCTAAAAATTAGCAAAAGCTCCAATTGACTAAAACTAGAATTGTCAGTTTCACTGAATCATGAATGACCTGTTTGTTCATTTCACAATGTCTGCATGTCTGTGTGCGTTACCAGACATGTGCCTCAGCTCCTCAGAGGGCAGCGAGGAGCTGCAGAGTCGCTCCAAGCTGCTGCATCTTCTGGACGCTGTAACGGACGCTCTGGTGTGGGCCATCGCCAAAACCGGCCTTAGCTTCCGCCAACAGTACACCCGCCTCGCCCACCTGCTTATGCTGCTCTCACACATCCGCCATGTCAGGTAAAAAGGACCTCATGTAATGCCAATGATGCTGTACACACTAACTGATGTATTTATGTAATGTTGAATAGAATTGTCCTTTAAATATGGACCTTTATAGATAATAGATTGTTATATAAGTGCTCAACATCTTGACTACTTTTGTCATTACGCTCACTGCTGTGCCCCAAAAAAACAACCTGCCTCTGTTACTCTACTTTCTTCTTTCTTTTCAAATGTGCAGCAACAAAGGCATGGACCACCTCCACTGCATGAAAATGAAGAACATGGTTCCTTTGTACGACCTGTTGCTGGAGATGCTGGATGCCCACATCATGCACGGCTCCCGGCTGCCCCATCGGCCCCCACAGCCGGAGTCCGGGGACCAGAGGGAAGCTCCTGCTCAGCCACAGAGTTCTCATAATGGCCTCTCAAACACCTGGACTCCCAGCAGCAACACTGAAGGTGGAGGTGAACCACAGTAGTCGGATCAGAATTCAGATGCAATGAATTTTCTCCACTTTGCACTAGTTCACAAGACTGATGAGACGTCGTTTTGCAGAGCGCTGCATTCTGTGAACTGTCATTGGTGAAACTAAAGCTTTGACACACTGTGCACACTTCAAAGTAGATTTTTAGGACGTTACTCTGCAGAGAGAGCAAACTTGCAGTATTCATTGCCTTACCACCACGTACTTTGGCCAGTAGCACCACCACAGAACTGAACATACCGTTCATGTAATATGTGAATTTCATATCAGATAATGAACGACTTCATGTGCCAAGGCAAGACTGTATGGTTTCAGTCATCACAGTAATCATTTTGGGAAACTGTGACAGACCGTAGACAATAATGTCACATATAGACAGCATAAAGACAGAATACATAAATATCTTTTATAACCATTTAAGTCCATACAGTCACAAATTTCCATCAATGTCTGATCCAACAGAGAATGAGATGTGCAATGACTGAAGTTAAGCAAAAAAAAGATATATATAGACGATATGATTTGTACAGAACAGATAATCGATTTTGTTATACAGCTTCTACTGATGTAGCTGTACCTTAATTAACATGAATTACCATAATTTGTATTTAATTCACTGAACGAGACAAAAACATTTCCCATCATTCATTTTACCTACAAAAGGTTTAAGAATTGAAATTTCAAATAATACTTATTATAACACAGTATTTTTTCTATCTTTAAGGAATTGTTTGACATAATCTTACTTGCTCTTGTGCCGAGGGTTAGATGAGACGATTGATACCACTCTCACATCTGTACGGTGAATACGTAGCTGGAGTCCACAGCTGGTCAGCTTAGCTTAGCATAAAGACCTGCTAGCCTGGCTTTTTCAAAGATACCATTAGCATGTTATATCTTGTTTATTTAACTTTTAACAAAAACCACATGACATTTTTACACTATTTTCTGTACAGATTAAATCAATGAGATGTACAGTATTTTAATGTTTTAATTAATGAGCTTTAGGGTTGCAGGTAACAAGGGGCTAAGCTAACCGGCTGCTGGCTGTAACCTCATATATACCGTTCAGATGAACGTTTATCAGTCTTCTCATCCAAGTCTTGGCTAGAAAAGCGAGCAAGTGAACTATATAGTGTTTGACAATTCCTTTAATACAAAAGAATTGTAAAAATGTATTCACGGCACATAACCACCAGCTGTTATGCTCCATGAGATAAGAGTTATTTTGTTAGCAACAACAGCTCCCATATTTTAAGCACACCAGAAAAAGGTGGTCCTTTTTTACTGTTCGGTACAGTAGTAGATACCCATTTATCTTAGAATATAGACAAAATGAAGGCCACTCATAGATTGGGAGAGTGATTAAGAACCGAAAGCTATCAGAACAGAAGCCAGGTTGGAAGTAGACTGAAGCACTATGTGATGTTGAGTTTGGTCAGTAATGTTTCAGAAACTAGCACAGACAATAACTGAGTTCTGTTGTTTTGGGTGTTTCCTGATGTTCACAGCAGACCCCCTGCTGACCACTAGAGGACGCTTTACACCACACACTCAGACGTATGAGCCTTCTCAGACTTTACTTTGACACTGTACATACCTGGCTTCATTGTCAAAGACATCTCACTTGTTTCCTGTGAAGAATCATAACCACTATTGCTATTAAGACAAAATTGCACTCATACCTGTCAAGTTTTGCTTGAAGAAAATTTTAACTATTTTTGTATCTCAGAACTCGCTACAGTAGCCGTTGTGTGCAGTCGTGATGCAGCTTCACTGATCAGGATCACTGCAAGAAGGACGCAGAATATGAAAAATATGCAGAATATGAAAATCCTCCCCATGAACTCTTTATCACCATACATTGCAAACTATACATTCACTGTGTATCAACCTTAGATTTTACTGTAGTTTCACAGAAAATATTGTCATAATGTACCTGTTACTCCATCACTTATTATCGCTGGTGGGTTCGTCCACCTTTCAAATGATGTACAGAGGAAACTTCAGGGTTTTCAGAAGTTTGGACTTTCCATATACAGTACAGTCTACAGATTATTTTTTGTGGTCTGTTTATAGATTTATCCATTCTCTCCTGGTTACACCATAAAAATAAAGCAAAAATACTGTACAGATTATACAGGGAGATTGACTTTACTTGTTTATCAAAACCCAGATGGCGATTTTAAAAAAAAAAAAAATCTTGGAAATTTAACCCCATACAAATGCTCTTACTTGAGCTGGATTTTCTAGACATTAAGTTCATGAAATCTGCTCTAAAACATTATCTCAACAATATCGTTCATCACTATTGTCGTTATAGTTTAGTGTGGATGGCCTTTTAAATGGAGATCAATACCACCTCTTGCCTGGAGCTGGAACCAGGAGGCGATTATCTTAGCTTAGCATTAAGACGGGAAACAGTTCGCCTAAATCTCTTTCCAAAGTTTGTGCAATTTGTGGTTTTTGGAGGAATTAGGTGCCGACACAAATTGTTTTGATATTTCTGCGTGTTCAGATTGAACAAATGAGAAATGTGTTAATCAGCGAGCTTTAGAGGATTTGAGGTATGTAGAAAGAGCAAGGCTTGCTGTTTCCCCCTGCTTCCAGTCTTTAAGATCAACTAAGCTAATTGCCTCCCAGCTTTAGCTCCGCATTTCGATCTTCTCATCTGACTCTTTAAAAGATTAAAATAATCAATTTATCATTTTTAGGGATTTAAGAGGTAATTTCACCTATAAATCATCTGAGCTGATTTTTGGTTGTAATTCTCTGATTTCAATGTTTTTAAAAGGCTTTTTCAATGACCAAAGAATATACTGTAAGTTTTCTGTCAATTCATACTTCATGTATTCATTTGTTCATCATCAGGACTTCAGGCAAAATGGAAAAAAAAAGCTTTGGGTAAATAGAGTTAAGACAATCAGTGTTTACTACCAGGAAATTAGAAGCATAAATCCAGCATTTGATGTTATAAATAAGCCTTATATTATTACATTCTGTACATACACATCATCCCGCTAAATCTACAGTGTTTCAACAGTGCACTGGTAGGCATGGAAATGTCTGCTCACTATCTACTCAAGAAATAGCATCTAAAAAAATTATGAATATACAATTATGTGTATAAAAGCTCTTATTTTTTACTGTTAGCCTTTACATTCACAAATTCAACCAGTGTCTTTTGTTGTAAAAAATAAACTTTTTAGGAGTTCAGTCTAACATAAAAATAGATCTAGCATGCTTTTTGTTTTCAGGGTCAAGTTAGACAAAATGAAATGTCAACAATACATAAAATAACAACGAGGACCAAAGCAGGAGCAAAATCTGAATAAAAATGTGAATGAGAAGGATAATATGTTTGGATAAAGTGATTTACTATATTGTCACTATCATGTTTAGATGGTGATGTTTAGACCATCAAATTAAGCTTTTAGCACAAGTTCAAGCAAGATAGAATATTGTGATTTCATTATCTTAACTTGGTTTCCACCTCTCAGTTATTATCCAGTGGAATATGTTTGCTGGCTTCTGCAGTGGCTGAGGGATATTTAACCTGTCTTACCTGTTACTGTACGCCTCTTTGCTGCGCCACTGCTATGTACTGTATGCTGCTTTGAAAACTCCACAAATGTCAAGACAACATCTACTGTATGACTTCTTTAGGGGAGCTCTTTGAGAGACTCAAGTGATTGATTTGTTGACTGCCATCAAGACCTTTGCATTATTAAACTAAAAATACCAGCATTTTTTGTTTACATGCAGTGATTTTCCTGATTGAAATGCAATCAAGTGGGTTTTGTTCGTGGAATAAATACAATCTTCTCTATGATCAAATCTTAAAAAATACACACTTAAATATAATTTCTGCCCTTTGGACTTTTTTGTATTTTCTTTTTAGAAGCCAGACGCTTCATCAGCTTAACATATCAGTTTTAAAAGTCAGATGGTTTCAGTGTGATAACAAAGGTGGCTTGTGTTTCTCAATGTCAAATGTCTTTCTTCTATTTCCAAGTATGTTTCTATTAGGTGGGCGGCGGGCCGTTTGTGTAGCGTAACATGGGGTAGAAGGACCAGGCGAAGTTGTTGGCCCCAGTGCAGCTGGGGTCGCTCTCCGACATAGGAATCAGACAGGGGAGGAGCAGGAGGAACAGTAGGAGGAGGTGGAGAGGGAAGGCAGCGCGAAGGGCCCGGTAGAAGAAGGACCGAGGCGGAGACGAGTCCCTCTTCTCTCTGTACGTCACACAAGGGACATGGATAATGTTTATTATAGGAATACATAATACACACTATTAGTAATACACAAGTCAACAAAGTAATTGCACTCTTTTGTAAGCAATGAACAAAACTTTTCATCTACAAATGACGATCCAAACCACATTGAATATTACTACATTAATAGAATATTGACGTCTTTCTGCGTACCTTTGAGTTGAGGAGCCTTTCTTGGAATTTGTGGCCTGAGAAGGATCTGCAGAGGCACTTTGGATCTCTGATGCAGATTCACAATCCTGAATTAAAGACAAAGAAATATTATCGTTACACCTTCTCTTATTTCAACATACATAAAGTGGCATTTAGCAAAAAGAGAAAAAACACACTAAATTCAAATGTCAACCAAGTGATTTTAATAACTCTTGTTTTAAATTAATTTACTTTACAATGCTAAAAGTCTATAAAATACTTAAAACACAATACCAGACGCTGTTGCAGGGTGCTGAGGTCCTGGTCCACCTGCCTCAGCAGCAGCTTCAGTTTGCTGCCCGTGACGTGGAGTTTCTCCCGGGCCTCGTTGCTCTCCTCTGCCTCCTCCTCAGGCTGGAGCTGAGACCACAGAGCCTGGAGGGAGGCCTGCTGAGTCTGCCGGCCCTGCAGCTCCTCCTGCAGATCCTGCAAACCACAAACAGAGATGGTGACGGTGGGTCCTAGCAGCAGAATACTCTACAATACGTGATTATATCTGCTTACTGTGAGCGTGTGGCAGTGTTGTTGCAGGGCTCTGACAGCTGTCTCTGGGTGACTGATGTCCACTGCATAGCGTCTGCTCTCTGCGTGGGCCAGCCACAGCAGCAGAGAATGGAGGGTTTCATGAAACTCCTGTATGGAGAAGGGTAAAGGGAAACTCTTACACTATTGATCTGTTTTGGTACAGTGCATTACATGACTTAACGTTAAGCAAGTTTTGACACAACTATACTCTACTACTATACTTGATAATAACCTCAGGCACTAACACTTAAGATAACATTTACATGAGATTTATTGGCTTAGTTGCAGCAGCACAAATAAAAATAGAAACTATACAAGAGCAATTATACTAAAAGTTACAAGGGAACTAATAATGCAGTATCACCTCAAACAAGTGACATAGTGGTGTTATTAGTAGCAGCAAAGTATAGTTTATGTAGAGTAATATGATACCAACTACTATAATAGCTTGAGCAGCATATATAATATGATAAGTAATTATACTTGACATTTGTCTGTTATGTAATGCAACAGTGTAAAGTTAATAGTATAATATATAGTATGGGATTATAAATAATAAAAAAATAAAGAAATAAGTTGAAATGTAGTATTTTAGTATAGTACGTCAATATAGCATAGAATATCAAATATAGTACAATATACACCAAAATATAAAATATTATGTTGATTTGGTGTGCAGTAATTGTAAATTAGTCCAACAGATACAGTGGAGAGGGAGGGTACATTTAGTGTGTGTAAACGTTTTCTCTATTCAGCAAAACTCCCTTAAGAAAATGTGAGAAAATCTGAAGTTGAAAATGCAAGTATTTATTGTATAGTATTTTATTGATTAAATCAATGAAGCTACTAATACAGCAGTCATGTAAATTAATAACAATATAATGATGAAATGCTTGTATAGTAGCTGTATTTTCATTATTAACCTGCCTCAGTCCCAAGAATGTAAAAAAAGAAACCTCACAATAATACCTGTTAACATTTTTATATCATTGTTTATGGACAAAATATAGTGGGCAGATTAAAATTAATGTCTAACAGCTGTGGTATTTTGCAATCCACCCTCTGTAATAGTCTCCATATGTTAGAAAACATACAGAACAACAGTAATATTGCAGAAGAAGATTTTTCACTTGAGAAACAACTGAATTTCTTCTCACCTGGCAGCGCATCAGCGTCTTCCTCAGACTGGTGTCCCACTGCTGGAGGCCTGTACACGCTCGGCTCCAGTCTCGATTCATACCCGCCAGTCTCTCCTGTAGTTCCGGAGCTTTTTGAGCTCGCAGGTTCATAGACAGCATGACAGACTTGTAGCGAGTAAACATCTTCTGCATTTCCTGCAAGAGAAAATCAGTGAGCACAAACATACTGAAAACGTATCATCAGATCTGTTGTATTCGGTGTTAAATTTTACCTTCAGTTCTTTGGCTCTGGCTGCCATGTCCTCAATACTGGCTGCTGGGTCGGACTGCTGGAGGCGCTCCAGCTCCGGGATCACGTTTTCTAACCAGGAAGTGATGTTGTCGAGGTCAGACATGAGTTGTTGAGGCTCCTGAGGGCCGGCGTGCTGGTCGGTCCTGGACTGAGCCTGGAGCAGCTCCCACCGCTCAATCACACCTGAGAGAGCACAAACATTTACTTTTATTTTTTGTCACAAGGTGCAATGAGAAACTCACCAGTAATAAATACTTACAGACATTAGCACTAGTGGATGTAGATAGCTAAACTCACAGCTTGTCAAACAGAAACGAACGGCAGCAATTGAGGCCAGTTAAACCAAAACACAACATCTTAAGTGTGTTATATGTAAAATACAACAGCATACAGCCTATTTACTACAAATCACTTCACAGCTAACTATTTTGCAAACCATACCGCTGTGTTTCTGAATTTCAAATGCATTTTTGTACTGTTTCAGGCATCCATTCGTTTCTATTCTTTTAACCCGATTAGTAGTAAAGTAGTAGTAGTGCTTGCATTGTGCAATCCATCACATTAATCATGTTATTTTTCCAAGCCTCTCTCACCTGACTGTTTGTCTGAGGCAGTCAGTCCCGTCAGTCCGAGCTCCTCTGGCTGCTCCTCATCATCCAGGATCAGCGAGACTCTTTTAATGTCCTTGATGCTGCCGCTGCACTGAGACATGAGACGCAACTGGAGACACAACAAACACACTGTTAGTACTGCCAGCTGCAAACATCCACACTTGTATAAAGCGTCTACTCAGATTTTTTAATTTTTCTGACAGATCGCTGGTTTTTAACTGGTATTGGTTTACGTGTAGCCATCATGGGTGACAACGTACATAGCCCTGTTTTAGGGGGGTGCTGGTGAGGGTGGGTGGAGCCTCAGTTTGGCCCTCTGAGTCCAGCCGGAGAGACTGTGTTTCTGCATCTCCCTGTGATCGCCATCTAGGAGACTCATGTACAGCCATAGACCTGCTTGAAACTGAAACACAAACAAAAGTTTAACCACAGACATTAAAGCACAACCTCCTCAGCTACAATATGGTAAAGTCCCTTAAACTAATTCTACTTCCTACTAACTTACCAACCTACCAGACTTTGAATTTGGGTATATTGCATCATTAATTAATATTATTTGGTCACAAAGACATATTATATACAGGTCACCAGACTCTCAGCTTAGAAACTTTTGGTTCTGAATGTTTGGCAAGATTTAGCAAATGTCTCAGTTTACAAGCTACAATTAGCTTTGTATTTGGCACAATTTACCATTGTCAACTCAATTAATGGATCTGAGGGGAAGCATAGACACTGAAAGAACATTTATGGTGATCCAAGTAGCGAAACTTCACTTTACGATGAGTTTGAGCAGCAGGAGAGAGAGATTGTGGCACCAAAGACCCAAAGCAGGGAAGCTGCAGCTGAAAACTTTAGTAAAATCAATGTGAACAATCAATTTTGAAGAAAAAGGTTAAGCTCTTGTTGTTCTATGTATTAAAACAATTAATCAGAGACACTGTGTATAATTCAGTGGCCAGTGAGGGTGGCTGATCATTTCAAAGAAGGTCTTTTTCATTTCATTTAAGGTTACTATATATTTGAGGGGGATAAAAGACAGGATGTAGGAGGATCAAAGGCCCTGAAGAAAGGGGCTGAAATGAACACAACAAAACAGATAGGGCCGGTGATAAAATGGTCTGTTGGAGAAAGACACAGGTAAACACAAATTCTTTATATATGGAAAAATAAATGAAAGAGATCCATCCAGATTAAAAGTATCCAATGACCAATAATTTATGCATCCATGTGTCCAGTTAGCTTTAATCAAAATCAACCCGTGTTTAAAAAAATATTTTTTGCAGGGAAATATTAGAAAAATCTGACCAGTATTTGAAATTTTGACCTCTGATTATATCCTACCCATAAGCCAGCTCATGAACCATTTAGCATTCAAACCACAGAGTTTGTAAGATAAAGAAAACCCTTTAAAAAAAAGAAAAAAGGTAGGTTTGCTTCGGCATTAAAAGATTTTCCGAACCACACATACAGGAAGGATCAGAGCGGCAGCAACAGCACACCATGCAGTAAGATCCCAGTGATGCATGAGCTGCTGAAAATGCATGTGACCATGAAGAGCTGTGAGCGGATTTATTAAGCAGAAGTTAAAGATGTTCTGTTGCCTACCCAGGGAGGAGGCTCGTAGGGCCTCCGGGGCTTCAACAAATTCCTCCTGGCTCTCAGTGAACTCCAACTCTGGGAGAAGAGAGGGGTCAGACTAGAGGTGTATGGATGTCTATGATTGTGTGTGTGTTTTAAGCCTAAACGTTTAATTTAATGGGATGTCATAGATGTTAATCACTTTTATTTTGGTATGGCTACCCGCAAAACTTAAGTAATCCTTTTCCAGTAAACCAGGAACATTTTTAGAGCTTGAACTTGCATTACCACTGGAGACACCTGGATCTAAATATCCTCCGGCTCAAACTGTTCTTTTCTTGTGTTTCCAGTCTCCCTTTGAGTACTTGTCTCCTTTGCAGGATCCATTTAAACGTCACATGTAAGGAACAATACCCAACAAGTTGAAGTGGGTGCGGTCCATCACTCGTGAGGATTCTGGTTTTACGACCTTGCGACATTTAAAACCCTTACGGCCATAAAAACAAGGGAATGTAAGAGTGTGTGAACATTTGCTGTACCATTAATCTATACAACACTGTAAATTTACCAGATAGTGCACTGAAGTAAGTTCTCTCCTCCTCATCATCTTCCTCGTCCTCATCATCCTCATGTGACGATGACCCTCCTACGTCTCCTGTGTGGTCCCACTCCAGCGGCAGGGAGTCCACGCTCACCGGTGTCTCCCGCCCTGAACGCTCCAGTGGAGATGCCAGCAGGTGGGTAGGTGTGGCCGGGAGGCTTCCTTGGCTCCGCCCCAGCCATGGTCGGCCAATCAGCTCCAAGCTTGACTCCAAGAAAAAGGTGGTACCAGAGAGCTCCGGTTCTTCATTGATCATCTGAGGCAAAGAAATAACGTATAATGTAATAATGTATTCAGTCAGATGTGTGATCAATAAAGTAGTATTCAATCTAATATGCTGCCACAAGTGCTTTTAACAAACTCTAGGAAATCTGATCCCATTAGAGCTTTTACACAGCAGCCATTTTGACATGAAATAGTAAACAGGTGTTACTAACAGTCAAACAGAGTCAGGGTGCAGCTGTTGTGCATGTGGGTTCACTGAAAAGACTCAACTACACTAAATGGAACAGAACCTTGATTGGTATCATTGATAATATCTGTGTTTAGCCTCTAACGTTAAAATGTGGCATTGGTTTTGAGGCATGTTTTCTAGTCACACAGCTCAAGATCGTCCAGCAGGGTCGCTAAAATATAAAGTTAAACAGGTACAAATATAAATCACAAGTGTACAATATAAAAGTCAGTATAAGTTGAAAATCAAGATTTGCTTGTTTGAAAAAAAAAAAAAACTGCATAAATTAGGGTATGAATGGAAGAATGGATGTAGTGTATGTGTGTGCTCTAGCTCACCGGGGGCTGGCTGAGGCGCTGGTGGAAGCGGACCAGTCTGCTGAAAACCTCCTGGCAGTAGGAGTGCAGCTCCTCCAGCTCGTCCTCTATCAGCGCTGCATCCTGCGGTGAGCTCTTCTGGATCAGATCCTCTCCGAACACTATCAGCCCGTCAATGCGCTCTGTGTTCAGGGTGATCTCCTTCTGGAAACTCTGCAGGAAGAGGGTTGGATGGGTTGGATGAATAGAGACTGAGTCAGGAAAATGAGAATAATGCTGAGAATCAAACACAACTGCTAATAGTATCTAAAAGAGAAACTGAGAGAAAAATGAACCATGGTTTTTTAGCTTATCATCTTAACATACAGTTCTTCTAAAGGCTGCAAAATGTAAACAAGATGTTTTGGTTGTAACTTCTCCTTAAGAAAAGCGTAAATGCTTAAGAAGAGGCACATTTGTTCAGAAAAATTAACTGAGCAGAGCTTTTTTGTGATTCAGTTTGATCCTTGTCTGTATGTGTGTCTGCAGTGTGTCCTCACATTGAGCTGTTGTATCTTGTGATGGACGTCACTCTCTGAAAAGTGCTCGACGTTGGTGAGCTGCAGGTCCAGCTCAGTCAGCCACACCAGCATGCTCTCTCTGGTGCCTTCAAATTCCTCCCTCTGGCTGGTAAAATACTGTGAGGAAGGTGAAGGAAAATATGACAGGCATATATTTATTATTGTCTTTTTGGGGCATTTTATGACTTTTTATGACACAAGTGAAGGGAGGGAGGGGTAGCAACAAAGAATGTAAATTGGGGACATGGTGCATCTTAAACCCTCCACAAATGCATTTCTCCTCAACAAACTACTTTTGCTAAAACCAACTGCAGTTTCTTGAGTTTCACAGTTCATTCTTTGGACAAACAATTGCCATTCAGTGTCCACTTACTTTGGGTTTTCTTTTTCAGGTCTACTGCACTGATGTAATTTTGAGTTTTAATGTTCTAATGTTTGATTTTATGTTAAATGTTTTTTCTTGTTTAGCATGATGTTGGAAATTAGATCTTTCGCTGTTATGTTGAAGATCTTTAAATGAACCAGATCAAAAATATATAAAGATAAGACTGACAGAAAGAGGAGGGAAGCAGACAATGAAAGTCTCAGTCCAGATTTACACCCAGGATGTCAGAGATAAACTAAATGTCATTCAACATAAATATGTGCATACAGTATGTGTGTTGAACATAGAACACACAGTGACACACAATAAGTAATTCAATTCAAACGTGTTGAAGATGAAAATAAACAGGAGGATGTGATAATCATACATTTTCCTCTGCGTTTTTAACAGCGCTGCAGTGTCATGCCCTCTCTGTCCTGTACTGTACCTTGAGTCTGCGGAGGATGGCAGCCACTCTGCGGTGCAGGGTGTCCCAGCGCCGGTTGCCTTCGTGGACCATTGCTTTGAGCTGGCTGGCTCGGTCAGTGCGGTTCTCCCTGGCAAGGCGGCGGTACTGGTTATTGACCAGTTCCAGCTGGGTCAGCCGCTCATGAACCTGCCTTTGGAAACCCTAAAAAGAACAGGGAAAGATGGGATGAACCATGAATTTAGAGGAAAAAACTATTTCACAAAAAGACATTTTATATAGACCAGGATTACTATAAAATGTGAAATAAAAATAATCAGAAGATTGAATGATAATAAAGTAAGAGCATTTTCCATAGTTATGGTTGTGCAATAGCAAGAAGGCAAACACCCTTCAACTCTGCCAAGTCAATTCACAAACAATTCACAAACTTAATACAGACAAATGAGAATATTTAATTTTGCGAAACAAACAAGCAAACAGAACGAAGCTACTTCAAACCTCTTCCATCTGCCGACCTCACAACTGACCTCAAACTTCTTGAGCTCCTCCTTGGCGACAGTATAAAGGACGTCTGCAGAGTTGGGGTTGGCAGCGGTGCGCTCGGCCATCTTGAGCCAATCCTCAAACCGCGAGTAGTCATCGAGGAACTTGCACCAGAGTCTCGACGTCTCCTCAATCCTACAAGGAGACATTGTACTGGAGTTACAGTCCGCTGTGGAGGTTATTTTATAAAACATGATGGCTTTTCTGACCTATAAGTAGACTTATTTCTTTACATGTAAGCATTGCCTGGATGTTAAAAACAGTGACATTATTAATTATCTGTAATCATCTGAGTTTTTTAAAATTTGAATCACTCTTAATCTGAAGTTTTACATTCAATTTAAATTATGAATTTGATTAGAAATTAGCTAACTGGTATGGGACTGCAGAGTGATATATTGGATGTAAATGCCTTCCTGTCAGTAGTAATAGTAGTACACTAAGGACCCAAAGAAGTTAAGTTTTCCTATTGTGTAACATCTTGCATGCACTGATCTGACTGATTTATTTGTAGTGAAAGGTGTGAGGACACCGTACAGTATATGTGTGTGTATGTGTGTGTGTTTTAGTTCCTACCTGAGCCTCCTGTCCAGAGCCATGGAACAGATAGTCCTCCAGCGCTGGTCCAGGCTACGGCTGGTCTCCTGCAGGGAGTCGCTCTCCGCCTCAGTGCTGCCAGCAGCATCTTCATCCCGCAGCAAAACGTCGCACAGACTGAGTACTGACGCTACGCCCTCCGTATGCTGCTCGATGTCCCTCTGCAGCTCCTGGACGGACACGTTGACGGACATGAAGACAGGCATTGCATCAGTCCATACCAGTGAAACCTTATGTTAAACATCAGTCCACAGACGTACAGACAGACAACAGGGGCTCACTGCATGAGACCACCACTCCCAAAATTAAACAAAGGACAGATATGAATTATTAATCATAAAGACAGACAAAGAGTGAGAGGGAGTGACAGTGAACCGGAAAAACAAGAGTGAGAAGAAAACGTAAAATTAAAATGTAACTTTACAAACAATACTGTAAAGACAAACAGACGACACAACTAGAAAGAAGAGTGAAACACATAGAATCAAAGAGGTAACTCAAAAACAAAAGTTTAAACCACTGGTGGATGGGCTTAGCAATAATAAGCATTATAAATTAACTAAAGTGAATTGATATGTGTGGTTGTGTGTGTTTCTGTGTACCTGCTGCTCGGCCAGCCTCTTCTGGATCTCCTGGTGGTGACAGACACTGTAGGTGATGGGTCTGGACAGCTCGGCCTCCATTCGAGAGAGCCAGGAGCGGAGGTTACTCATATTCTTATCCAGCTGCTGCACCGTCACCAGAGTCTCCTTCAGCTTCTTCACCCTAAACACACACACGCAGATTTATAAACTCTATGATCCAACGTTCACATTACGTAATCCATATTTGAATAAGCACTCATGACAAAGATCTGTACTTATTTATTAGGACTGTGTGTACTCGGCTGTATCTGGTATAGATAATGTACTTTTTTACATTACAAGTAAGTATGTAATATAGCATATATTTTATAAAATAAAGATGAATTTGCCAGTAATCCACAATAAAACATAAGCAAGCTAATATTAAAGGAATATATAAATAAATAAGAACATTCTTTTGTGGCAAATACTTTTTTTTTTCTACGCTTTTAATTGTCTCATACTTAATTTTTATCTTGTGACCCCAACCCCCCAGGGCCACTGAGCATTTGGGATGTTTATTTTATTCTATTTTATACACATTTAAAATGATAAGATAGAAAGAAAGACAACAGAAAAGCTTGTACAGTGGTGTGAAAAAGTGTT